GTACAAGCAGCACAGATGTCTGATGCCTTGTACATGCAGCACAAATGTCTGATGCCTTGTACATGCAGCACAGATGTCTGATGCCTTGTACATGCAGCGCAGATGTCTGATGCCTTGTACAAGCGGCACGGATGTCTGATGCCTTGTACATGCAGCGCAGATGTCTGATGTCTTGTACATGCAGCACAGATGTCTGATGTCTTGTACATGCGGCACAGATGTCTGATGCCTTGTACATGCAGCGCAGATGTCTGATGCCTTGTACATGCAGCACAGATGTCTGATGCCTTGTACATGCGGCACAGATGTCTGATGCCTTGTACATGCAGCGCAGATGTCTGATGCCTTGTACATGCAGCACAGATGTCTGATGTCTTGTACATGCAGCACAGATGTCTGATGCCTTGTACATGCAGCGCAGATGTCTGATGCCTTGTACATGCAGCGCAGATGCCTGATGCCTTGTACATGCAGCGCAGATGTCTGATGCCTTGTACATGCAGCACAGATGTCTGATGCCTTGTACATGCAGCACAGATGTCTGATGTCTTGTACATGCAGCACAGATGTCTGATGCCTTGTACATGCAGCACAGATGTCTGATGCCTTGTACATGCGGCACAGATGTCTGATGCCTTGTACATGCGGCACAGATGTCTGATGCCTTGTACATGCAGCACAGATGTCTGATGCCTTGTACATGCGGCAGGGATGTCTGATGCCTTGTACATGCGGCAGGGATGTCTGATGCCTTGTACATGCGGCAGGGATGTCTGATGTCTTGTACATGCAGCACAGATGTCTGATGCCTTGTACATGCAGCACAGATGTCTGATGCCTTGTACATGCAGCACAGATGTCTGATGCCTTGTACATGCAGCACAGATGTCTGATGTCTTGTACATGCAGCACAGATGTCTGATGCCTTGTACATGCCTTGATGTCTGATGCCTTGTACATGCAGCGCACAGATGTCTGATGCCTTGTACATGCAGCAGATGCAGATGTCTGATGCCTTGTACATGCAGCACAGATGTCTGATGCCTTGTACATGCAGCACAGATGTCTGATGCCTTGTACATGCAGCACACAGATGTCTGATGCCTTGTACATGCAGATGTCAGATGCCTTGTCTGCACAGATGTCTGATGCCTTGTACAGAAGCTTGTACATGCAGCACAGATGTCTGATGCCTTGTACATGCAGCACAGATGTCTGATGTCTTGTACATGCAGCACAGATGTCTGATGCCTTGTACATGCGGCACGGATGCCTGATGCCTTGTACATGCAGCACAGATGTCTGATGCCTTGTACATGCGGCACGGATGTCTGATGCCTTGTACATGCAGCACAGATGTCTGATGCCTTGTACATGCAGCACAGATGTCTGATGCCTTGTACATGCAGCACAGATGTCTGATGCCTTGTACATGCAGCACAGATGTCTGATGCCTTGTACATGCGGCACAGATGTCTGATGCCTTGTACACGCAGCACAGATGTCTGATGCCTTGTACATGCGGCACAGATGTCTGATGCCTTGTACATGCAGCGCAGATGTCTGATGCCTTGTACATGCAGCGCAGATGTCTGATGCCTTGTACATGCAGCGCAGATGTCTGATGCCTTGTACATGCAGCGCAGATGTCTGATGCCTTGTACATGCAGCGCAGATGTCTGATGCCTTGTACATGCAGCGCAGATGTCTGATGCCTTGTACAAGCGGCAGGGATGTCTGATGCCTTGTACATGCGGCACAGATGTCTGATGCCTTGTACATGCGGCACAGATGTCTGATGTCTTGTACATGCAGCGCAGATGTCTGATGCCTTGTACATGCAGCACAGATGTCTGATGCCTTGTACATGCAGCACAGATGTCTGATGCCTTGTACATGCAGCGCAGATGTCTGATGCCTTGTACATGCAGCGCAGATGTCTGATGCCTTGTACATGCAGCGCAGATGTCTGATGCCTTGTACATGCAGTGCAGATGTCTGATGCCTTGTACATGCAGCGCAGATGCCTGATGCCTTGTACATGCAGCACAGATGTCTGATGCCTTGTACATGCAGCACAGATGTCTGATGCCTTGTACATGCAGCGCAGATGTCTGATGCCTTGTACATGCAGCACAGATGTCTGATGCCTTGTACATGCAGCACAGATGTCTGATGCCTTGTACATGCAGCACAGATGTCTGATGCCTTGTACATGCAGCACAGATGTCTGATGCCTTGTACATGTAGCACAGATGTCTAATGCCTTGTACATGTAGCACAGATGTCTAATGCCTTGTACATGTAGCACGGATGTCTGATGCCTTGTACATGCGGCACGGATGTCTGATGCCTTGTACATGCGGCACGGATGCCTGATGCCTTGTACATGCGGCACGGATGTCTGATGCCTTGTACATGCGGCACGGATGCCTGATGCCTTGTACATGCGGCACGGATGTCTGATGCCTTGTACATGCGGCAGGGATATCTGATGTCTTAATCTGTGACATTAGAGTATATTTCCACAGTCACTGTTTTATACGGTGTGTGACAAACGATGTACATGGCGTCATTTAAACAAAATGTGCTTCACAGTCAAGCCTGAAGCAATATGCTGTGAACTGCTTTCGTCCGCTGGAGTCATTCTTTGCACTCAAAACAAAATTGTGCAATCAACAGAAGAATTTGTCTGGTTAAACCTTTTAAGAAATAACAGACACGTTGTAAAAGGTATATGACAGTATGAAGAGACGTGTACAGTCGTGTCTGGAAGCCCGTGGTGGACATTTCAGACACCTGTTATATTGAATATTTCACAGGGACTTCCAGCTTCCCCAAAACAGCGTTAGACCATAGCAGTGACTATTGTAACTAATTTAAGGACTTTTAAAACACATTTTTTAATGATGCCTTGTACTTCATCTTTCAAATTTGTTCTGCATACAAACTGTAGTGAGACTTCACAATTACCCTGCACGTCTACTCAAACAGCCATTTCTATGTGTAGACAAGTTCTGAGGAATGTTGAACCACAATCAACATGTGACTGAGAACATATGACCAGCACCTCACTGACAGACACCTCACGGACAGACACCTCACTGACAGACATCTCACTGACAGACATCTCACTGACAGACATCTCACTGACAACAGTGCTGGGCTGTGACTTGAATAGCGAAACTTTGAGAGAGCCCAATTTTCCTTTATCAATCATTTTGTTAACAACATAAAGCACACCACATAAGTGGTCAAAATAAAATGGATAAGAAATCAAACAGATGGAACATGAAAAGTTAACAGAAAGTGAATGTTACATGTTGGTGGCAGAAACCTGAGGAAGATGTAAACAAAAGCAAAATGAACATAAAACAACAGTAGCCTGGTCAAGTCTAAAAGATCTGAAGACAGTCTTTCATGATATTCTGTTCTTTTTCCTGTCTGTAATTATGGAACAGACAACAAAAGGGCATATCCTTCAAGTTGACATATGTCTCAGAACAACTCACAGAAACAAACCTCCACACAAAGATATACACATACAAAAACACACATACAACAACACACATACAAAAACACACATACAACAACACACATACAAAAACACACATACAACAACACACATACAAAAACACATACATACAGCTACATATTTACAACAAAGTAATGCATACAACAAAACCAAATTACAGAACACAGACAAAAAGAAGAAGGAAGAGAAAAAAATACAACTTTCAGCGGCCATGTTGAACTGAGAAGCAACAAACTCAAACTGATGTCACTTTCTCTATAAGCATCTTTGATCACCCCATGGAAAGAGATGTTGCTGCATGTAGGCAGACCTTGCTACATGTAGCTAGTTCTTACTGCATGTAGACACATACTACTACACGTAGGCAGACCTTACTACATGTAGCCGGTTCTTACTGCATGTAGACAGATACTACTACACGTAGGCAGACCTTGCTACATGTAGCTGGTTCTTACTGCATGTAGACACATACTACTACACGTAGGCAGACCTTGCTACATGTAGCTGGTTCTTACTGCATGTAGACAGATACTACTACACGTAGGCAGACCTTGCTGCATGTAGCTGGTTCTTACTGCATGTAGACACATACTACTACACGTAGGCAGACCTTGCTGCATGTAGCCGGTTCTTACTGCATGTAGACAGATACTACTACACGTAGGCAGACCTTGCTGCATGTAGCTGGTTCTTACTGCATGTAGACAGATACTACTACACGTAGGCAGACCTTGCTACATGTAGCTGGTTCTTACTGCATGTAGACAGATACTACTACACGTAGGCAGACCTTGCTGCATGTAGCCGGTTCTTACTGCATGTAGAAACATACTACTACACGTAGGCAGACCTTGCTACATGTAGCTGGTTCTTACTGCATGTAGACACATACTACTACACGTAGGCAGACCTTGCTGCATGTAGCCGGTTCTTACTGCATGTAGACACATACTACTACACGTAGGCAGACCTTGCTGCATGTAGCCGGTTCTTACTGCATGTAGACAGATACTACTACACGTAGGCAGACCTTGCTACATGTAGCTGGTTCTTACTGCATGTAGACACATACTACTACATGTAGGCAGACTTTACTGCATGTAGACACATACTACTACACGTAGGCAGACCTTGCTACATGTAGCTGGTTCTTACTGCATGTAGACAGATACTACTACACGTAGGCAGACCTTGCTGCATGTAGCTGGTTCTTACTGCATGTAGACACATACTACTACACGTAGGCAGACCATGCTACATGTAGCTGGTTCTTACTGCATGTAGACAGATACTACTACACGTAGGCAGACAGGTTCCTGCTGCTTACAAATGGTATATTTTAAAACAAGCATATATAACTGTACACATCTTGAGGTGTAGCTGAGCAAGAGCTGCATAATCTCACATGAAGGAAATGCAGTAACCAGCTGTGGGTGCCAGGGTCAGTCTGCAGTAAAGGCCAAGGTCAGTCTGCGGTGAAAGCCTGGAGTCCAGTGATTGCACGGCCCAGGATCAGTGCATGAATGTCATGGGTACCTGTTGAGAGAAATCACCAGATCAATTGGTGAGAGAAATCACAAACTTAATTAGCATCATGTGTTTCACTTCTGGCCGAGACTGGGATTTTAGGACAAAGCTAAGCTAGCAGGTCGAATTAACCTAAAAGGGTTACCAGGTCACATTCTAAGAGGTAAAGCTAATGACTATGTGAGGTTAAGTCTCATCTCAGGGGGTTGTGGTTTAATTTCTCCATTTTTGTGGTTTGTGAATGCAGACTAAGTGAATCCTTGTGAGGGTTGATCCCTGGGTCTAGGCAGGCTTTCAGCCACCAGCCATGTGACGGTTGATCCCTGGATCTAGTCAGGCTTTTAGCCACCAGCCATGTGAGGGTTGATCCCTGGATCTAGCGAGGCTTTCAGCCACCAGCCATGTGAGGGTTGATCCCTGGATCTAGCCAGGCTTTCAGCCACCAGCCATGTGAGGGTTGATCCCGGATCTAGCCAGGCTTTCAGCCACTAACAAATCTACTAAGAAAACCTGGAAAGGAACAACAAGAGACAGATAGTATGGGAAGGACATGATATGAACACGGAAAGAGAAGTTTTTAAGGAAGTAACTAAAAGAGGTAGATATTGAAATAAGGACATGGAAGGAACTTCAAAGAAATACCTGGTGAGGGAACCACATGAAAGTAGCTGCATGACATAAGTACTATATTAAGGACATATCAGGTCAAACTGTGTGCATGGAAGGAACAACATGAGGTATCAAGTAGGAGGGATTTAGAGGGGGAACTATCAGAGATAAGCAGTTGAGAACTATTCAATAGTAAGGGCGAGAGATCAAATAAAAGTAGTGTGCCAAGAATGTATGAACTAGCAGAGACAGACAGTGTGTAAGGAACTAGCAGAGACAGACAGTGTGTAAGGAACTAGCAGAGGCAGACAGTGTGTAAGGAACTAGCAGAGACAGACAGTGTACAAGGACAAGCTGCTGACACATGACTGGCTACCTTCGTAAGTGTTCACAGACTCCAGGTTCATGACATGCCGGATCACATGATACTCGTCGCTGATCCCATTGCCTCCCAGCATGTCTCGGGCCTGCCGGGCAATGTCCAGCGACTTCCCGCAGTTGTTTCGCTTCAGCAAGGATACCATTTCTGGGGTAGCCCTACAGCAGAGAATAACACAAACTCAGTAACACACCAGTGGCATTATAAATACAAGTAAACACACAAACTCAGTAACACGCCAGTGGCATTATAAATACAAGTAAACCCACAAACTCAGTAACACGCCAGTGGCATTATAAATACAAGTAAACCCACAAACTCAGTAACACAACAGTGGCATTATAAATACAAGTAAACCCACAAACTCAGTAACACGCCAGTGGCATTATAAATACAAGTAAACACACAAACTCAGTAACACGCCAGTGGCATTATAAATACAAGTAAACCCACAAACTCAGTAACACACCAGTGGCATTATAAATACAAGTAAACACACAAACTCAGTAACACAACAGTGGCATTATAAATACAAGTAAACCCACAAACTCAGTAACACAACAGTGGCATTATAAATACAAGTAAACCCACAAACTCAGTAACACAACAGTGGCATTATAAATACAAGTAAACACACAAACTCAGTAACACGCCAGTGGCATTACAAGTAAAGTGAAGGATCCTTGTCCACACCATCAGGCATATAGGGCTAGACATATGTATTATAGACCAATCGGCACTCAGAGGGAGATGTGGTCAACATCATGCTGGCCACCTTTACTTCCCAGGACTTTCCCTGGTGTCCACATCAGGCTGCATCAACCTGGAAGCCTAGATCATTTTTGAAAAAAAATCTGGCTCTGTGCGAATCTTAACCAATTCAAACCCTCATGTTAACATCTAGCTGCTACTTCACGGCAGCTCCCTAATTATAACAAATATTAGACAGAAAAGAAAAATCATGAAAATGTAAACAGGACAGGATATGATAATTTTAAAAATTCAATGTCTAGTTGTTGCAAGGATAATTCATTCAGTTTTATTGTCCATTTATTGACACAGTAAATGATACAGTACACACAACACCATCAGAGATCTGCCCTGCAAGCACATTCTCCATTTCTAGACATAGAGTTCAAAGGTTCTGTCATCCAGGTGCTGAGCTGTGCTTGGTGCGACACTGTGGATTTCATGTGAAATGTTGTGTCTGTTGGGTCTGTGGCATGTTGTTGACTGCACTAAAATGATAGGTGACTGATTACATTCAGAATGGCATGTAATTCGCTTACAAATTGACCCACAAGTGCCAGGTTTTTTTTTTTTTTTACTGTTGCAAAATATGGACACGTGAATCAGGTTCACAGAAGTGATGCATGACCTGGTGACAGATCTCAGACAAATGAGAAAGACAATTATTAAAATAAACAAATTTTTTGTTATATTTATACTCACAATCCTTCATCCTTTAATCTCCCAACTTGCAGACATCCAAACAGGCCCAGAGAAATTTCGGTCAACATGTCTGCCAGTTTTTTCTGTATCAACTGGTTCTTGGCCAGTGGTCTTCCAAACTGAATTCTAAATGTGGACAAAGTTCAAGTGATCAGTAGGAAAACAATAAATAAAGAGAGTTACTGGAAGAAATAAAACAAGAAACAAGATAATTCTGCCACGCCGAAAGACATAAACTCTTGGTTTTTAAACACAATCCAACTAGAGAGAACATTTGAAGGCAAAAGAGCAACAGGTAGACAATAAACGATACAAGTGGGAGGACAACATCAGCAGACAGTCAAACAGAAGTCAGAGACAGTGTCACCCAATATCAGAGACAGTCAAACAGTAGTCAGAGACAGTGTTCACCCAATATCAGAGACAGTCAAACAGTAGTCAGAGACAGTGTTCACCCAATATCAGAGACAGTCAAACAGTAGTCAGAGACAGTGTTCACCCAATATCAGAGACAGTCAAACAGTAGTCAGAGACAGTGTCACCCAATATCAGAGACAGTCAAACAGTAGTCAGAGACAGTGTTCACCCAATATCAGAGACAGTCAAACAGTAGTCAGAGACAGTGTCACCCAATATCAGAGACAGTCAAACAGTAGTCAGAGACAGTGTTCACCCAATATCAGAGACAGTCAAACAGTAGTCAGAGACAGTGTCACCCAATATCAGAGACAGTCAAACAGTAGTCAGAGACAGTGTTCACCCAATATCAGAGACAGAGAGTGTTGCTGATCCAATTATGACAACTTTAAATGTGAGGACAGCACCTGATTGCTTTGATCAATGAAATCACATGATGTGACCAGTGGTGAAATCATATGATGTGACCAGTGAAATCACATGATATGATCAGTGAAGTCACATGGTATGATCAGTGAAGTCATATGATATAAACAGTGAGGTCACATGATGTGACCAGTGAGGTCACATGATATGACCAGTGATGTAACATGATATGCAGCTTCAGTGGGCTGGTGTATGTTATTTACAGAGTAAGTCTCAGTTACAGATAAAGTCTTTTTACAATGAGATACTTCTATACTGACCTGACTACAGTGTACTGACCTGACTACAGTGTACTGACCTGTCTACAGTGTACTGACCTGTCTACAGTGTACTGACCTGTCTAGAGTGTACTGATCTACCCAGAGTGCACTGTCCTGTTTAGAGTGTACTAACCTGTCTAGAATGTACTGTTCTGTTTAGAGTGCACTGTTCTGTCTAGAATGTACTGTCCTGTTTAGAGTGTACTGCCCTGTCTAGTGTGTACTAACCTGTATAGTTTATACTGACCTGTCCAGTGTGTACTGACCTTATAGTGTGTGCTGACCTGTCCAGTGTGTACTAACCTGTACAGTGTGTACCGACCTGTCCTGTGTGTACTAAACTGTATAGTGTGTACTGACCTGCCCCATGTATACTGACCTGTCTAGTAAGTACTGACCTGCCCCATGTGTACTGACCTGTCTAGTAAGTACTGACCTGTTCAGTGTGTACTGATCTGTCCAGTGTACTGATCTGTATATTGTGTACTGACCTGTCCGGCGTGTACTGACCTGTCCAGTGTACGGATCTGTATATTGTGTACTGACCTGTCTAGTAAGTACTGACCTGTTCAGTGTGTACTGATCTGTCCAGTGTACTGATCTGTATATTGTGTACTGACCTGTCCAGTGTGTACTGACCTATCCAGTGTGTACTGACCTGTCCATTGTACTGACCTATCCAGTGTGTACTGACCTGTCCATTGTACTGATCTGTATATTGTGTACTGACCTGTCCAGTGTGTACTGACCTGTCCAGTGTATACTGACCTGTCCAGTGTACTGACCTGTCCAGTGTATACTGACCTGTCCAGTGTACTGACCTGTATATTGTGTACTGACCTGTCCAGTGTTTACTGACCTGTCCAGTGTGTACTGACCTGTCCAGTGTACTGATCTGTATATTGTGTACTAACCTGTCCAGTGTACTGATCCGTATATTGTGTACTGACCTGTCTAGTGTTTACTGACCTGTCTAGTGTTTACTGACCCGTCTAGTGTGTACTGACCTGTCCAGTGTGTACTGACCTGTCCAGTGTGTACTGACCTGTATATTGTGTACTGAACTGTATATTGTGTACTGACCTGTCTAGTGTGTACTGACCTGTCTAGTGTGTACTGACCTGTCTAGTGTGTACTGACCTGTATATTGTGTACTGACCTGTATATTGTGTACTGACCTGTATATTGTGTACTGACCTGTATATTGTGTACTGAACTGTCTAGTGTGTACTGAACTGTCTAGTGTGTACTGAACTGTATATTGTGTACTAAACTGTCTAGTGTGTACTGACCTGTCTAGTGTGTACTGACCTGTATATTGTGTACTGACCTGTCTAGTGTGTACTGACCTGTATATTGTGTACTGACCTGTCTAGTGTGTACTGACCTGTATATTGTGTACTGACCTGTCTAGTGTGTACTGACCTGTATATTGTGTACTGACCTGTCTAGTGTGTACTGACCTATATATTGTGCACTGACCTGTATATTGTGTACTGACCAGTATATTGTGTTCTGACCTGTCTAGTGTGTACTGAGCTGTATATTGTGTACTGACCTGTCTAGTGTGTACTGAGCTGTCTAGTGTGTACTGACCTGTACAGTGTGTACTGACCTGTCTAGTGTGTACTGACCTGTACAGTGTGTACTGACCTGTCTAGTGTGTACTGACCTGTATATTGTGTACTGACCTGTCCAGTGTTTACTGACCTGAACAGTGTGTACTGACCTGTACAGTGTGTACTGACCTGTCTAGTGTGTACTGACCTGTATATTGTGTACTGACCTGAACAGTGTGTACTGACCTGTACAGTGTGTACTGACCTGTCTAGTGTGTACTGTCGAGCTGTCTCTAAGCAAAACTCAGCCGCTCCTAGAGTGCCCCAAGCAATTCCAAACCTGGCATTGTTCAAGCAACCAAATGGGCCCTAAGGAAGTCAGCCAGCAATGAAACAACATTAGAATAACAAGCAATGGTTTACATGGAAACAGACTCAAATATACAAGAAGAAAGTAGTCCAAAAAAACTGCAACTATTTCAGTCTCATGCTCCTTGGGTAACAGGTTTCATAATCATGAATAGTTTATACAAGCTCAGAGACCACTCAACAAGATTCCTCAAGTAGAATGCTGGTGGGTGCAGTCACACAGAAACTCGGTCCAGTAAGATCACCCAGGCCAGCATCATACATCACAATTAAGAGTTCCCCCCCCCCCCTTCCCCAAAGAGAATTGTTTAACGTTTCTTTCTTCCTCATTGACTTAGGCAGTTCGTTCAGTCTATGATTCTGTCTGGTTTTTAATTCTATTTGGTCTATGGTTCTGTCTGGTTTATAATTCTGTTTGGTATATGGTTCTGTCTGGTTTATAATTCCGTCCAGTCTATGGTTCTGTCTGGTTTATAATTCCGTCCAGTCTATGGTTCTGTCTGGTTTATAATTCTGTCCAGTCTATGGTTCTGTCTGGTTTATAATTCTGTCCAGTCTATGGTTCTGTCTGGTTTATAATTCCGTCAAGTCTATGGTTCTGTCTGGTTTATAAATCCGTCAAGTCTATGGTTCTGTCTGGTTTATAATTCTGTTCAGTCTATGATTCTGTCTGGTTTATAATTCTGTCCAAGCTTTGGTTCTGTCTGGTTTATAATTCCATCCAGTCTATGGTTCTGTCTTGTTTATAATTCTGTTCAGTCTATGATTCTGTCTGGTCTAGAATTCCATTCAGTCTATGATTTTGTCTGATTAATAATTCTGTGTGGTCTATGATTCTGTCTGTTTTATAATTCTGCCCAGTCTATGATTTTGTCTGATTTATAATTTTGTCCAGTCTATGATTCTGTCTAATTTATAATTCTGTCCAGTCTATGGTTCTTTCTGGTTTATAATTCTCTTTGGTCTATGATTCTGTCTGGGTTATAATTCTGTCCAGTCTATGATTCTGTCTGATTTATAATTTTGTCTAGTCTATGATTCTGTCTGGTTTATAATTCTGTCCAGTCTATGGTTCTTTCTGGTTTATAATTCTCTTTGGTCTATGATTCTGTCTAATTTATAATTCTGTCCAGTCTATGATTCTGTCTGGTTTATAATTCCATCCAGTCTATGATTCTGTCTGGTTTATAATTCTGTTTGGTCTATGATTCTGTCTGTTTTATAATTCCGTCTAGTCTATGATTCTGTCTGATTTATAATTCCGTCCAGTCTATGGTTCTGTCTGTTTTATAATTCCATCCAGTCTATGATTCTGTCTGATTTAAAATTCTGTTTTAAGATTTTGTCTGGTTTATAATTCCATCCAGCCTATGATTATGTCTGGTCTAGGATTCTGGTCTATGATTCTGTCTGGTCTTTGATTCTGTCTGGTCAATGATTCTGTGTGGTCTATGATTCTGTCTGTCTAGGATTCTGTTTGGTCTAGGATCACTTTCAGACTGTGCATGAATAACTGCTTCAGTCCTCTCTAGCTGATCACAGAATAAGAGTCTTAGCACAGCGCAAAAACTCCCTAAACATGTCAGACCACCATCACCATCATCACGTAGCATGCAGAGACCAGAACATGGCTCCCACCACAGCCAAACTTGACAGAAGCTCGGCTTCTCGCCAGCTCTCCCACACTTTCCTGCATGAGATGTCTCTTATGTCTTGTCCCATCATGCTGGTCAAAGCTACCCATGACAGACAGTGTCTCCAGATTCCCAAAGTTCTTCTGAACATTGTTCCCACATTCAAATACTGCTCTGACCTCCATTTAAATGTAAATCATAATCCTACATAAGTTTACTTGCTGTGACAAGAGCGTATATCAGAGTTGTGTCAACAAAAACTTACCGACAAGCCTGAAGCATTGGGTAACAGATTCTCTTCTGGCACCTCGACATCCTCCATGACAATCTGGCCAGTGATGCTCGCACGCAAGGAGAATTTGCCCTCAATTTTGGGCGTGGTCAAGCCCTTCATACTCCTCTCTAGGATGAAGCCTCGGATTTTATTTGAGTCGACATCCGACTTGGCCCACACAACAAACACATCCGCGATGGGGGAGTTTGTGATCCTGTGTACATTAATATTCAAACATAAATGTATAAAACTTTATAAACATATTTTTCATGCCAAAAATACAAAGAAATGTTCAAAGAAGGTTACGTCAAAAGTCTCGAACTTGAGTCTTTAATGAGGCAAGCAGCAGCTACCAGAAGGAGCAAAGGTTACTCAGTCGCATGAAGCTGGAGCTCAGTATCCGTGACAACATCAGCATTTTACATCCCAGCAGACGTATCGGCTACAATAGGACCTGTCAAATCTCTCAAGCACTGATGGCAGTCACCGGCAGTATCAGCTACAACATGACCTGGATATTTAATCTCTCAAGCACTGATGGCAGTCACTGGCAGTATCGGCTATGACAGGACCTGGATATTCAACAGCCTAGAATGCCTCACAGCATCAGGGCAGGAAGAGATCTCTAGAACACGTTTCTAGTCAGTTCATGAGATCTCTTCATTGTTCTAGAAGCACTAAATAAACCTCTGTCCGTTTGATGGGCCGGTCACAGTGTTTCCAAACTTGCTAGAATGTCACACATTGGAACGAGACTATCACATTCAGACTCGTATAACACAACTTACGCTATAGGATGTCCGAAACAAGCTCGGCAAATGCTATGCTGGCCACACACAAAAACATTCACTTGCCACACCATCTTGATCAGAAGCACAATTTATGAAATGCAAACTGGCTGTGAAAGTTTCTTTTGGGGCAACACAAACTAAAGACCAATGACAACTATTGAGGTGCTTGCTGAAATTGGATGTATTCAGCTGAAAGGATCAGATATCACAGCCAAGCTGTCAACCGAAAAACAATGTGCCAATTGTCCTTCAAAGATGAATGTAGAAGAACATGGCAAACAGCATCTTTCAGCACAAGACATCACCATCTTTCAGCACAAGACATCACCATCTTTCAGCACAAAACATCACCATCTTTCAGCACAAGACATCACCATCTTTCAGCACAAAACATCACCATCTTCCAAGATAAGACCAGGTCATCATTTCTCTTTCTAGAAATGGGTTACAACAAAATGGAAACATATTTTCAAAACTGGTTGACCTTTTTTCTTTCCCTCTCCCTGTCCCTCTCTCCCTCTCTGTCTGTGTGTGTGTGCGTGTGTGGCAACAGTTCTGCAGACAACAATTTCAGCCAAACAACAGACAGGTTTAATTTAGGGCTGACACGAAGCAGGTCCTACCAGGACTTGGTGCCGTTGAGCAGGTAAGATTTCCTCTGCTTGTTGTACTTGGCTGTGGTCTCCATGCCACTGGGGTTGCTGCCATGGTTGGGTTCCGTCAAACCAAAGCATCCAATGAGATTTCCCTGAGCTGAGGAGAAAAATAAATTTTCATATTATTGGATGAAATCAATTATGTGGTTAAACCATAAGTGTGCACTGTTAAGTGAATAAGGTTTAACGTCACAGAAAAACAATATCAGGTGTAATGCTGTCTTGAAAAATTCTTGTCAAACACTGTCAGTAAACATACCAGGTGTAACACTATTGTAAAAATACTTCAAGTAACATTTTGTATAACACATTTGGCAAAATAACAAAATACCTGGAATATTATGTTAGGAAAACACACGGTTTAATACTCCAAGTGAAATACCTGGTTTTACATTTTTGTTGATATGTTTGTTTGAACATATTTGTAAAGGGCCTGGTTAATAATTTACATACAATATCTAACTGAACACTTTACATACAATGCCCGATTAATAATTTACATATAATATCTAGCTAAACACTTTACATACAATAGTTGACATTATGCTTTTGTTGTGAATACTGCTAGCACTGTTGGATATAATATAGGGTTTAACAATATTAGATAACTACCAATAAGTCTTCAGTTTTCTCCCTTGATATCTTACTTGCTGTTTTATTTCTCCCTCTCCTGTTTCCATCCTTCCCTGTAAATTATCTCCAAACATTCACCCCCCCTTCCTTTCCAGCCCACTGTAACCCACCCACACAAAAATATACCTGAACTGTGTAAACAAACAGCTCTTGTTTTAACTTGTGACTCCTTCCTTCTTTCTTCGGACATCTCTCCTTATAATTGTATCTAAAAATAAGAGGTCACCTACCGAGCTGCGGAAGGTATTTCTGCTTCTGTTCCTCTGACCCGTAGGCAGATATCGGCCACATGACCAGACTGGACTGGACACTCATGGCTGACCTGTAGCTGCTGTCCACTCTGTAAAGTACAAACAGGCAAATGTATTTTCAAAAAAAAGATGTGGTTCCTGATACCAAAACTGTGAATATCTGTGACTGTCAGAGAAACTAATTAATGCCCGGAAGAGGTTAGACAAAGTAAGGCTAAAATGGGTAGGTGTTGGTTTGACTGCAATAATGAATGAACACCGTCTGAAAACAGAGAGCTTCATGTATAACATCACAACACCTAGTAAGAGAATGCAGGTGGCAGTAACAGCAGCTTCCTATGGCTTGGGGGCAGTAACAGCAACTTTCTGATGGCTTGGGGGCAGTAACAGTAACCTTCTGATGTTTTGGGGGCAGTAACAGTAACCTTCCGATGTTTTGGGGGCAGTAACAGCAGTTTCCGATGTTTTGGGGGCAGTAACAGCAGCTTCCGATGTTTTGGGGGCAGTAACAGCAGCTTCCGATGTTTTGGGGGCAGTAACAGCAGCTTCCGATGTTTTGGGGGCAGTAACAGCAGCTTCCGATTGTTTGGGGGCAGTAACAGCAGCTTCCGATTGTTTGGGGGCAGTAACAGCAGCTTCCGATTGTTTGGGGGCAGTAACAGCAGCTTCCGATTGTTTGGGGGCAGTAACAGCAACCTTCTGATGGTTTGGGGGCAGTAACAGTAACCTTCTGATGGCTTTGAGGCAGTAACAGTAACCTTCCGATGTCTTGGGGGCAGTAACAGCAACCTTCTGATGGCTTGGGGGCAGTAACAGCAACTTCCGATTGTTTGGGGGCAGTAACAGCAGCTTCCGATTGTTTGGGGGCAGTAACAGCAGCTTCCGATTGTTTGGGGGCAGTAACAGCAGCTTCCGATTGTTTGGGGGCAGTAACAGCAACCTTCTGATGGCTTGGGGGCAGTAACAGCAACCTTCTGATGGCTTGGGGGCAGTAACAGCAGCTTCCGATTGTTTGGGGGCAGTAACAGCAACCTTCTGATGTTTTGGGGGCAGTAACAGCAGCTTCCGATTGTTTGGGGGCAGTAACAGCAACCTTCTGATGTTTTGGGGCAGTAACAGCAACCTTCTGATGTTTTGGGGGCAGTAACAGCAGCTTCCGATTGTTTGGGGGCAGTAACAGCAGCTTCCGATGTTTTGGGGGCAGTAACAGCAGCTTCCGATTGTTTGGGGGCAGTAACAGCAGCTTCCGATTGTTTGGGGGCAGTAACAGCAGCTTCCGATGTTTTGGGGGCAGTAACAGCAACCTTCCGATGTTTTGGGGGCAGTAACAGCAACCTTCTGATGTTTTGGGGGCAGTAACAGCAGCTTCCGATTGTTTGGGGGCAGTAACAGCAACCTTCCGATGTTTTGGGGGCAGTAACAGCAACCTTCTGATGTTTTGGGGGCAGTAACAGCAACCTTCTGATGGCTTGGGGGCAGTAACAGCAACCTTCTGATGGCTTGGGGGCAGTAACAGCAACCTTCTGATGTTTTGGGGGCAGTAACAGCAACTTCCGATGTTTTGGGGGCAGTAACAGCAACCTTCTGATGTTTTGGGGGCAGTAACAGCAGCTTCCGATGTTTTGGGGGCAGTAACAGCAACCTTCCGATGTTTTGGGGGCAGTAACAGCAACCTTCTGATGTTTTGGGGGCAGTAACAGTAACCTTCCGATGTCTTGGGGGCAGTAACAGTAACCTTCCGATGTCTTGGGGGCAGTAACAGCAACCTTCTGATGTTTTGGGGGCAGTAACAGTAACCTTCCGATGGCTTGGGGGCAGTAACAGTAACCTTCCGATGGCTTGGGGGCAGTAACAGTAACCTTCCGATGTCTTGGGGGCAGTAACAGTAACCTTCCGATGTCTTGGGGGCAGTAACAGCAGCTTCCGATTGTTTGGGGGCAGTAACAGCAGCTTCCGATTGTTTGGGGGCAGTAACAGCAGCTTCCGATGTTTTGGGGGCAGTAACAGCAACCTTCTGATGTTTTGGGGGCAGTAACAGCAGCTTCCGATTGTTTGGGGGCAGTAACAGCAACCTTCTGATGTTTTGGGGGCAGTAACAGCAACCTTCTGATGTTTTGGGGGCAGTAACAGCAACCTTCCGATGTCTTGGGGGCAGTAACAGTAACCTTCCGATGGCTTGGGGGCAGTAACAGTAACCTTCCGATGTCTTGGGGGCAGTAACAGCAACCTTCTGATGGCTTGGGGGCAGTAACAGCAACCTTCTGATGGCTTGGGGGCAGCACAGTCCCAGACGTTATCAATCTAATGAAATCCCACGGCATGCTTCAGAAAATAAAAACTTGCGTCCCACACACATCGTGGCTTGCATCGCTTGATAAGACTCAGAACCAGAGCATGTAATATATTTTCTGTCCAGGAGATTCTGGTGTGTGGGGTAATGACTGGCTGCTACTGCCCCTCTGGGTGGTAAGCTACTTTATGCTAAAGCAGTCCATGGGGAAGGCTCTCTGGAATCAAGTGGACAGTGCAACAGAAAAGTATCCATGCCTGGCAGGACTAATTCAGCAACGGTGCACTTTTAATCAGATTGCAACTGGGACTATTAGCATGGGGACTCTTCACTGGCTACTGAAGAAGGAGACGGAGCTTGCATGGGAATGCCCTACGTACCGTGATATCAATTCCTGATTCATTCATTAATTTATAAGAAAATGAAAAACTATGTTAACAGATTATATAATTAGAAAGACACTCATGATGCCTGAAGCAACAGAAGAGATCAAGGCAGAGCAAAAGAGATGATGTTGGATCCCAAACCCAACAGACCAAGAGAGTGGAGGGATAAGAGCACCCAAACCATTTGGCAATATACATGGTTGTGACGACACATGTCGAACTGATCTGTTTTGAAACATGTTTGATTCTTAAGCAAGACACTGTTATTAGTTGAAGATGGAAGGTTCAAATCCTGGTGCTTATACAGCTTTTACTTGTCTAGAGTTTGCCTGATGTGTGCTGAATTCATCTACTTCTATGAGTGCTCAAGTGATCTCCATTACTGTGGTTACAGTGTGTTGTTTAGATCTGATGTCTGCAGCATTTCCTTCTGTTTAAAAATATATTGTTGTTGTTGATTATTAGTACAGAAAAAAAATACTTACTGACATAAATGTCAACATAAAAAAAAAGCTGTCAACACAAAACCAAATGTCACCAAAAAAGCAGATCTTAACCCTACCAGACCTGAGGCCCTGAACCTAACTGTCCCTTTAACCTGAGCTCCTGGTCATTACCGCGAAAAAAACCAACATGATATACAAAACTATTAGTTACATGCAAACGAGTGGCTAGAATATGATGAAACTTGGAGACAGTGTAGAAAATAGGATTACCTTTTATCTAGCGCCAATATTCCACCTTTGTGTGCGAATTCACTCATCAGGGTCAACTTTGTTTCACAAAGTGAGCACCAGATGTTGCCGTTTGATGGACACACCCCCATTCTCCTACTATCGATCTATTTCAAGATTTTAATTTTCAAGATTTTCCTCATTTGCGCTCTCACTGACAGTCTCACTTCAAGAACGTATTCTTTATGAAATTATCACAGGTAATGAGTATATATATATATATATATATATATATATATATATATATATATATATATATATATATATATATATATATATATATATATATATATATATATAATATATATATATATATATATCAAGTCTTAATAAACCAAAGTAACGATCACCTGTTGGACTGTGAAAAGCCTAGAACTTAGCTCCAGCCATTTCGTTTCATTGTGAATTTTCAGAATTTTTCCACGTAAAACAACACAAATATAATCCAAACACATTTGCAATGTCTAACAAAGTGGATTGATAAAGATTGGGAGGTTATTTTTAGTCCGTGACGCATCGTTTTTCCGTACTAAGCAAAAAGCCGAAAATTAGGGCCTGCGGTATAGAGACAGGTTAAGAAATTCCCGGTAAACCGGGCCAGCGGTCTGTTTGGGTTAATACAAAAGCAGATACCAATTCAAAAGCAGATATCAACAACAAAAACCCACACAGACCTCTCCAGTTCTTGGGCCAGAAGCCCATAGCCTACAGAAGACAGTCCAGCACAACCGTAGCCTTGAATTGTTGGACCCAGTGCCCCAATCTCTCCCATCTCTCGCATGATGGCCGGATCAAAATCTGTGAGAAATAAGCATCAGATGTTGGAAAGTTATCAATCACATGGTAAACACTGATCATACTAGTTCACACTGCAAATACCAACTGTTTAGCATCAAATTCCAACATTTAAACATCAAACATCAACATTTTCTTCAAAATACCAACTGTTTAGCATCAAATTCCAACATTCAAACATCAAACATCAATATTTTCTACCAAATACCAAAAGTCCAGAATCAATTATAAGGTAGTACATCTCCAAAATATCAACAGTTTAGAACTAATGTCCATAGTTCATTAAAACAATAACTCAGCAACAAATATCAATATATGATTACATCAATTCAGCACAAAATACTAGCAGGTGTGCACCAAACAACTAGCAGGTGTGCACCAAAATACCAGCAGGTGTGCACCAAAATACCAACAGGTGTGCACCAAAATACCAACAGGTGTGCATCAAAATACCAAGAGATGTGCACCAAATACTGGTAGTTCATCATCAATACCAGCAATCCAGCATCATATATTAGTAGTTCAACAAATATCAATATATGATTACATCAATTCAGCACAAAATACTAGCAGGTGTGCACCAAACAAGAAGCAGGTGTGCACCAAACTACCAGCAGGTGTGCACCAAACTACCAGCAGGTGTGCACCAAAATACCAACAGGTGTGCACCAAAATACCAGCAGGTGTGCACCAAAATACCAACAGGTGTGCACCAAAATACCAGCAGGTGTGCACCAAAATACCAAAAGTGTGCACCAAAATACCAACAGGTGTGCACCAAAATACCAACAGGTGTGCATCAAAATACCAAGAGATGTGCACCAAATACTGCTAGTTCATCATCAATGCCAGCAATCCAGCATCATATATTAGTAGCTCATCACCAAACGCAAGCAATCCAGTATCAAATATTAGTAGTTCATCATCAAATGACAGCAATCCAGTATCAAATATTAGTAGTTCATCATCAAATGCAAGCAATCCAGTATCAAATATTAGTAGTTCATCATCAAATGCAAGCAATCCAGCATCAAATATTAGTAGTTCATCATCAAATGACAGCCATTCAGCATCAAATATCCACAGTTGAGCAAACAAGAAAACAGACCCAATCAGAGCTGTTTCTTAACACAAATTTCACAGAGACGTTTATGTCAGTCTATTCCAAATTACATGCAGACTGATTTTTCTAGATGAGACTAGCTCCGACTTTGTGACCCTCTCTCTTCCTGACCTTCCAACTTCACAGACATCCATTCAACAGACATACATTCAACAGACATCCATTCAACAGGCATCCATTCAACAGACATCCATTCAACAGACATCCATTCAACAGACATCCATTCAACAGACATTGACTGCCTGTCTATTTCTACACTTGCCTCCTTCTATGAACTTACAGACTTTTCAAATATTCTTGTGAGCTCTAACTATGTCTCTGCTCCTAAAGGATGACCTTCCCTTAACCTGTACAAGATGAACAGCTAACACCTTATCCATGCTGGCAACTTACATTCCTGTCGATTGGCCTGGATGATTCTCGGCATGAGCTTTTGCTGGCAGTAAGCTCGGAACTGATCCCTGACAATTATTTCCTCTTCTGTTAAACACCCCTCCAAGTTGAGGGCATCTCTCCAGTCAAATTCCACTAAAAAAAAAAAAAAAAGCAAAGCAGATTTATGAAAGCTATATACAGGAAAACAATTTATAGGGACAATGTGCAGATATCAGAAATTGTTGATACTGAGGGGAAAAGAAATCAAAGCAAAAACTACAGATATAGCTAAAAGAACATTGCTACCAGCAGATTTTGTGGACAGATTATCAGAAGACAAAAGATACCGACTACTTACTGACAAATGTGAACCTTGATTAAACTAGAGAAAAGAGAAGACAAACAGACAAATATCTAGAAGGCATGGCCTTAACAAGATCACAGACTCGATCTGTGACTTTAGTGGTCATGTGAGACAGTGAACCATAGCAGCCTACGTTTATTCACAGGGCACATGATGATGATAGCAAAAAAAAAGACACTGGATATTCACCTGCCCATACGCACGCATGCACACACACACACACAGAGTGCACACAAGGTTGTGGAATAAGTGCCGTGGAATAAGTGCTGTGGAGTCTGACACAACTTTCCCAACATCTTAAAAACCTTTTATCCACCGCTAAAAGCATGTTTCTGGAAACTTCCTATTTGAAGTTACCTACATTCTGTTTGTCTGCAAGCTATGTTTTAATGGAATTATGTTACCTGTGAATTTGACAATTGTTAGTAAGTTTTATTAATGTATGGTTTTAGGAGAAAATAGCTTTACGCTCTTTTTACATACCATTTTCTCGTTTGCCAGGTTTATTTTGCTTGGAAGCTGGGGAAAAAACTTTGAGAAATGTACTTGAGATATTTATTTCAGAAATGATTATAACATTTCCATGATAGCATAACCTAAAGATTGATAATTACATACTGCTTAAAAATAATTAAGGACTCACTAATACAAACAAATGCAGAAAAGCAGAAGAGATGTAATATCGTTTCCAAACAAGCAGAAACTCAATTTACAACCAGCTTTGATCTTTTTTTATTTTTACAGGCACAAATGGATGGTAAGAAAACCAAAGGTGTCATAATAAGGCGTACAAACATGTACTTTATCAAAATAAAGTGAAAACATTCACACTTGAATGAAAATGCAAAAATGGCGATACATTTTGACGAGAGACATGAAATAATCTCATGTGCACATCCTCCTCTGTGATGCCTGCATTTCTCAAAATGCCTGAATATGCCCACAAATGAGGAGCCTTCTAAGATAAGTTTTGCTGCAGGGCCTGCCACTCTAGAAGAAGAGGATCAGTCGATACTCTGACACTGGTGAGAGGAGGTATACATCTTCTCATGCATCTGGATAGAAGATCCCCTCAATGTGCAATAGGATTCAGGTTGGTAGACCTTGACAGCCAATCCATAGCCTCACCACATTCTGTCTCCATGAGCTCCAGAGTTTATCTTGCAGTGATTAACATGAAACTCCCTTCAACTGCACTAGCAATTGGATGCACAACAGGTAAGAGAATTTTGTTGCAGCATCTTGCTGCCATCAGAGAACCACCACACCACTACTTAGATATCTGTGTCACCATCAGGGCAGATGCCACCCCAAACCATTACTAACCCACCTCCAAACAGGTCATACAGTACCATGTTGTAGGCCAAACAGGTCATACAGTACCATGTTGTAGGCCAAACAGGTCATACAGTACCATGTTGTAGGTCAAACAGGTCATACAGTACCATGTTGTAGGCCAAACAGGTCATACAGTACCATGTTGTAGGCCAAACAGGTCATACAGTACCATGTTGTAGGCCAAACAGGTCATACAGTACCATGTTGTAGGCCAAACAGGTCATACAGTGCCATGTTGTAGGCCAAACAGGTCATACAGTGCCATGTTGCATGCTGAAGAGCATTCTCCTGGTAGTTGCCAAACAATGCTGGTAATGTAACCACAATCAACTAACAGCACTCTGAGACATGTTGGGTCATTTTGCTACATCTCATTTTGACCCTCCACTCTGCAACATTTCTACTTCTCTTACAGTATAAAAAATAGGAACAATAATTCATCATCATCATCATCCTATAACACTATGTGTCGTTGGGTCACAGGTTTCTGTTGACTGTCTGATCAGCTCTCTCCACCTTTGGTGGTCGATTGCGATGGACTTCATGGTTGCATACATGAGGCCTGTCCAGTCAGTCAGGTTTTGTAACCAGGTCTTCCTCTTTACCTCTACTGAGCCCTGCAGTATTGTTTTTCAGAGGCTGTTAGATCTTATTACACTGCATTTTTCAGTGTAGTTAAAAGAGGTTCATAGTTGCCAATGTGCTAGCAACAATAATTACAAATTAGAAATCAAAGTGTTTGATCTGAAATTCAAGGGACTGTACTGTATGAATCCATCCCAGTTCCACCCAAAGGGACTGAACAAACAGATATTAATGTAGATGTGGATTTATGGGGACAGGATGTCATGAATCATAGTGAAGTTTGGAGGCGACGAGGTAGTTGGGCGGGAACAGGGTCAAATGAGAAAGATTACTAACACGTTAAAAATTGAGGGTCTGAGATGAAACACACAATTTATATATAAAGGAAATGTAGTGACAAGAAACTGTCTGTTGAAAAATTGTGCTGAATGCATTAAGTGTTGGGCAATTCTGTTTAGAGCGAGCAAGTCTTTATAGTCATGTTCTCCATGACCATGGGTTGTGATTCTCATGTCTCCATAGACAATAGTAACAGTACACTCGTCTGAAAAGACAACAAAATCCCCTCCCCCCCCCCCCCCCCCCCCCAACAAATCTCAAGAAACATGACTGCGTTATGAGCATCAGCTTTCAATCATGTATGATACTGACTCTTTCAATTCGGAAAAAGATCGGGCTACCTGCGACAGAAGCTGGAGTTCGACTTTCAAACCGTTTAATCAACGACCAAGTCAATCCTCGACTGCCCGCACGCAGCATCCTCAATGTTGTTGTTGCCATTTTCTCGCCCTCTGACCCGGCGCTGCCAGGTACGTCGCCGCTCTGCTGGTGGAATAACGTGCCATCTCAACAATTGGACCACACCTACAATATTAAAACGATACACTAGAAGTAGAAACTTAGACAACGAACAAACAACTGGGACACTGAGGATGTGGACATACAGAAGAAAAGGTTGTATTTCATGGACAGACAGAAGTTATCAAACATAGACGCTCTGAGAAACCTATGATTGAAAAGAGGGATGATGAAGGAAATAAAAAAGAGACGGGTGAAATATTTCAGTTTCATTAAAAATCATAAAATATTAACAATTTTACTATAAAATTACACTGGAAAGAAAAATCAAAAGCAAGCGAGGAAGAGGCGGACAGCTAATGTGGGTATAACGTCGAGAAATGGACCAACAAACTCCCAGAGGGTGTGCATCCAAAGCGAATGACAGAGAGTGCTGGAGATCTATTGCAGTCACCCTCATTGTGGGCGGAGACTGGAAACTGCAGCCAACCCTCATTGTGGGTGGAGACTGGAGATACACTGCGGCCAACCCTATTGTGGGTGGAGACTGGAGATACACTGCGGCCAACCCTCATTGTGGGCGGAGACTAAAGATACACTGCGGCCAACCCTCATTGTGGGTGGAGAGATACACTGCAGCCAACCCTCATTGTGGGTGGAGACTAGAGATACACTGCAGCCAACCCTCATTGTGGATGAAGACTGGAGATACACTGCAGCCAACCCTCATTGTGGGTGGAGACTGGAGATACACTGCGGCCAACCCTCATTGTGGATGGAGATAGTACCTGATTGATTGAATGAATTATAGACGACATTGCGGCGATAAGACTTCATGAGGAAACAGTAACAGAAGCAGTGAGAGTGACAGCAAAAACAAAACAAAGACCACCACAATACAAAGAAAAGAGGCGAACGACGCCCCCCCCCCCCCCCCAAAAAAAAATGAATCAGGAATCCATATATACAAATTTTTTATGGCTGTCCTCCTACACAGACATTAGTTATAATCGCCTTTGGTGTTTGTATTATTTTACTAGGCTTGTCCCGAGGTGTCTTCATTAAACCAAAGCCTTTTCCAGATCTGGAGAAGGCGTTGATTGGACTGGATCAGATCGAATTGTTTAACACTGGACAGTTCAGCTCCTTAGGATACAGGGAGGAAACAGGAAGGATACAGTGAGGATACAGGGAGGAAACAGGAAGGAGACAGGGAGGAAACAGGAAGGATACAGGGAGGAAACAGGAAGGATACAGTGAGGATACAGGGAGGAAACAGGAAGGATACAGTGAGGATACAGGAAGGATACAGGGAGGAAACAGGAAGGATACAGTGAGGATACAGAAAGGATACAGTGAGGATACAGCAACACTAACCTGGTTAAAAAAGCTGTCCACTTCGTTGCCCCGAGTTGTCCCCAATTTGACCTGGTCTCTGTCAATCGAACAGCTAGCCGAATGTTGAGAGCACTGCACAAAGCACAAACACATGAGCTCCGGCGACGAACCACAAGGGATCTGTGAAAATTGCACTCGTGGACCGAACAACACAGCCATGAAACGAACCAACGACTTTCTGAGAGCAAGGCAAATGGCTAGACCACTTCGCCATGTAGACCCCAGATGGAAAAAGGAGACGCTGAAGACCTAAGCAAACTGGAAGGACCGTTGAAATGGAATCAAGAACTGCACAATGACCCGGGATACCATAGGCAGACACGTAGCTATGGAGACTTTTGCGTGTCTCATATGCAAGATCGCCTTTACAATGTGTGATGCTCCTGTTGAGTCATTTATTTTATGCACCTCTCTCTCTCTCTCTCTCTCTCTCTCTCTCTCTCTCTCTCTCTCTCTCTCTCTCTCTCTCTCTCTCTCTGCTAAACGTCATCATCGCTATTCGTTTACAGACTACCACCAATAAGTTGTGTAACTATATACTTCAGTTTTAAATTGTACCAAACCATTCAAACTTAACTGAATGCACCAAATACACAACAAATGTGCAATTTGGGGTCTTAACGCAGCAGTGGAACATAATAGAAGACAAAAACTGTCATATGATAAAAGCAGTAAAGATAGCAACATTATTTCAACTGTCCGTTATATTTTGTCGCTGTTAGAAATTTGCCGCCTTGTGCAGCTGAGCGTGTTGCCCATAGCTTAAATACGGTAGCACGAAGATGATATCTTCTTCTTTGCGTTCACCGGCTGTAAAACCCACGGAAGGTTTTGGTTGCTCGTCCACCTCTGGACTTTAATCAAGTTACACATTTTTTTTTTTTAAAACAGATTTTTGGGTCTTTTTCTTTCAGGCAGATGCACTCCGACTTCGAAGAAAACTCCCTTTTTAGACATATTTGTTGGGGAGACAGTGGGTCTATTCTTGTCTTCCACACAATGGGACCCCAGGAGCCATACAAGGAGAAGAGGATATCATCATCATCAAGTGCCTTGCCGACTGTCGTGGGCGACCATGACTATCCTTAATCTACGATCCGCAACTGAATTTATCAGTTCGTATGTTGACACCCTCCATGTCATGACAAAAGACTGTTATTAATTTTTTATATTGTCTTCCAGTGGTCACAAGAAGTTACAAATACGCACATGTCATTTTTTCTTCTTCCTCTTACGATGAAATTTTTCTTTCTTTGAAGCCCTACTCTGGCTCTTGCCATGGGCCGCAATATAGCCTGGCCATAAATATGGACTAAAGGCTGAAGGCAGTTTCTGGGACCTCTCCACAGTGACCCTCATCCACATGGTGGCACATTGTGTCATTGGGTGTTTATCGCTTGTTTGATGTCCTGGTGGGGTAGAAAATCAGTCAGTCGGCTTGTCTCACTTGAAGGGATTTTTTAGGATCATGTATTGTACTTTTTATTATTTGTGTGTGTTGTCGATTTAATGCCGTACACATACATTGCATTCATTTTAAATTCACTGTAGGTGGCTGCTTATATAATAGTAATTACTTGCCATGCAATTAACAATAATAAAATGTGCTAAATGTTTGTTGCGTCAACTTGGGCAGTAACGTTGAGCTGCAACAATGAAGCCTCTCATTCAGATGTTGACATCATGGCGCCCACTGCCGTCAACGCTGCCAGTCTCCAGTTTCTCAAACAGGTTTACCACGGCAAATCTCTCAGCTTGTCCAAGACTGTGAGTAATAGAAGACACTGTTTTTTTTTTTAGTCTGTCAATGTGCTGTAAATTGGCAGTTTATTATCACCTGTAACCTGTGTTTTGTCAAGACTCAAATGACGCCGGCGTTCGGTTCTGAGTAATCTGAGCTCTCATTCAATTCATTCATGACTTTCACTTCCATTATTAGCGCAGCCGAAACTGTGAAACAAAGTTACAAAGATCACCAATTTGATCTTCATTGTGATTATCAGTGTCACCGGTGGATTCTCGACCAGTTGACAAATACTATAAACATTTTGATAACTCTATTTAGATCAAGCGTGTTCATTGTGATTGTTCTTCACTTCTTCCGTGCCAGCATATATGACAACCATTAATATTTATAATTATTATTTTATTAATTCATTTGGTCCTATTTTTGAAGTCTGCATAAGTAAATAAAATATAATTATATATATTAAATGTAACGATATAATATTATAAATTTCATAATCAGTATTGATAGATATTATTAATTAATTGTTGATATTTAATTATATTAATTAATAACATATCAATATTCTGCTATCCTCCGAATAATGGGCACATATTATGGCGGCCGCAAAAAACCTAACAGAGCCTCAGTCAGTTCTGTCACGTGTAATTTGCGCACTTCCGGCGACCTAATTTGCAGTTTTCCGGCGACTACCGTCGCCGCCGAGAGTATCTCTTGCAGCTTTGCTTGTGAGTCCCAGCCATCTAGTTTAGCCCCAATCCACGCCGCATGAGCGGCCTGGGGTATACTCTCAGCTGTGGCAATAGTCGCCGTAAAACCGCAAATTAGGTCGCTGGAAGTGCGCAATTGACACGTGACTGAGGCCCTGTTTTTGGCTGCCATAATATGTGCCCGTTATTCGGAGGATAGACTTGTTATGCATTTTGTCTCATTTCATATGTCATCTCATAGTATGTTAGCCATACTGCATTGCCATATACTTTAAAATAATAATATTAATAATAACATATTGATTGTTATTTAATAATATATTTTCAGGATGTTACACTAGATGTTGGTGATGGGAGGAAAGTATCTGGAATCACATGTCTTGCCAAACACTTACAGAGGACATCGGCTGAGTTCAGAGGTATTATTTTTCTCTCATTCGCTCTGTCCTTGTTTTTAGTGTGTTTTAATGTCACATTGGCAAGAAGAAGCATGTGGGCTGAGTTTTGCTCTGTACTTAAAATGTGGTCATAGTCAAGAAATTTTGGGCTTTCCTCCGAATGACGGTCCCAAATTATCGAGGCCGAAAATATACCATAACAGGGCCTCAGTCACATGTAAATTGCGGACTTCCGGCGACTACCTCCACTGCCGAGAGTATCTTTCACGCTGCTACGCGTGGCGTGGAGCTGGGCTAAACTAGATGGCTAGGACACACGAGCAAATAAAATGAAGGAAGCTGCAAGAGATGTGGTAGCTGCTGCGAGTCCTAGCCATCTAGTTTATCCCTGCTCCACGGCGCGCATAGCGGCGTGAGAGATACTCTCGGTCGTGGCGGTAGTCGCCGGAAGTCTGCAATTTAAGTTGCCAGAAGTCCGCAATTTACATGTGACTGAGGCCCTGTTAGGGTATATTTTCGGCCTTGATAATTTGGGACCGTTATTCGGAGTATAGCCAAATTTTGTCCCTGTCAGTTCCAGGGACACCGTTACGTATATTTTCTAATGTCCCAAGTTTTGCTGTCTGTGATCATATGGTTACATGACCACATAATGAATTTTCACTTTTGTGATCAATGATGTCTATCACTAGGCAGTATGAGCATGTTGTTTTAATTCCAACATACTGG